GCCAACGACTTCATCTTCTGACATGAATGGAAGTAGAATGCGTTCCGCATCCCAAAAAATGACCTAGGCGGCTACTCTGTCTCTAGACCCTCAGACAGGGCTCCCACAAAACTGTCCTGTATCATGGAAGGAGCTCACAGAATGCTCCCCCTTTCACTTCCACCCCCAATCGGAGATGCGCCATCTGCCTCGCCATTATTTTCTCATCATCTATCCAGAGGTGTTACGACTTATTGTGCAGATTAATGTATAGCTATGCTACACCAATATCACACTGATAGCAACCACCCATTTATCATTCTCTGTCACTGGATAAAGTTCCAAACAATCTATTGCACTGCTTTGATATACAGATTGCAATTTAGCTTCATTTCACGTCTGACTTATCAGATAATCTTCGATTACTTTAGTCTCTGTTCTCTTTCTTTTTTTTTTTGGAGTCCTTTCTGTCAGTCTCTATCATTTCCTCGGACTGCTAGTCCAGTATTTGTCGACTGACGGATGTCAATGTTTGCGCCTCTTGGCACCAGTCTGCCGCGTGCAAAACTAGTACAGTATCGTCGGGAATCGTCTGATTCGATGTCTTTTTCATCCGTACTGTCATCGAACGTAAAATGACCGACTGGCCAATGATTTCCTCGTCAGCCACTCGTGGACGTTCTGAAAAATCGCCAATGTTGGTGCTAAAAAGCACATCTTGAGAGGATGCCGGCGTTTCCGTGTGGATTTTCCCAAGTGGAAACCGGAAATCTCACGTTGGCGCTCCGCCCGATGTGGACTAAGGTGCCGAGTATATAAGCGTTCTCGACGATGACCCAAACGAGTTTTATGTCTTCATCTGGGAGGATATACGTGGACATCATCAAATTGTTCATTTAATGCCTTACTGCTGTTTCTTTATTATACAATTATTTTTTTGTGATTTTGAACAAATTCTGAGGCGGTATGCTGTTCACCTCGCCTCTTCTACTATATTTCGACTTGGTACACCCATTTCCTGAGTATTCCATCTGATATATTCTCGTATACCTCAGGGAGATCGCGTAGAGCACATCGTAATTAGCCTGTCACGGAAAAGCATCCAACGCCTCTCCACAGCGGAAACTCGTCCGAATTACCGGACTATACGATCTCCTTGGCTGATGGCCTCATTAAGGTTCAGTTCCTTTTTCTCAACAAGGGCATCGTCAGACTAATCTGTTACGAGTTCCGACGAATCAGTGAATTGCACGAGTTATCCTACATTGAAGATACGTCGCATGGCGTTTTAAATGATGGTAATAGCCGCGGCGCTGTTTATCGACGGGGGGGGGCATTTTGTACTACCATTGCTTCCCTAGTTCCGGTTTGCAAATCTCACTCTGTAAAACTTGTGAACTCTTGTGAAGCTGGAGCAAGATTGTCTAGCCACCATCGTAAAACGTGTCAACTCGAGAAAAGGCTACCTAGATAGGTCGGCACATCTATGGAAAGTACAATGCCCCCCCGTCGATAACTCGCAATGACTGCTTCTGCACCTTGTAAAATACATTCCTCAATGTGGCGAAAATATTAACTTCGATTTCTATCAACGAATATTCTCACTATTTCTGAATATTGAAAGATGGGGCTACTGATTGATCAGCCTCAGAGACTGGGTATCTCTGTCGATTCCTGACTCTGAAATCCCGTGGCATGGAACTCATGGAGGGGCCAGGGAAACCATCCTCTAGGCTGACGAATTGCCTTCATAGCGGATAGTAGGGAAGAACTGCAGTGCAAGGTGCAGCTGAGGCAGGATGTGCTCGGTGAGAGTGGACTCTGGCTGAGCGTGAAGAAGACCAAGGCCGGGAGCTCCAGAAGGGGGTCCCGAACCCGTCACCGCCGCGGCGAAGGTATCGAAAAGTTAGAAGACTTTCAGTACCTAGGAAGCGATATGACAGCACCCGGATGGTTAGCGCGTCAGGCGGTTAAAGCTCGAATCAACACAGCCTGGATGTAATATAAAACCTGCAGTGCTCTACGGCAGTTAGTGCTTGTCCATATGCAAGAACCATGGAAGGCAGCTCCACTCAGCCTGAGGATGCTGAGTTAGGGTCTGCGGCCGTGGGCTTACTTAGACAGAGTGCAAGGAGCAGTACGTCAAGAGCGGTCAACACAGACGGCGTACGATCAGCTGAAGGCAGACAGCAGGACTGGCGATGGTGGGGCACGTAACTACCACGCCCGAGGACCACCCGATACGGAACAGCGTACGACAGTATTTGTTTATTTTTTTGTGTGCTGGAATGCAGGCGATCACGAGGAGCCAAAGAAAGTAAAGGAACGTCATCAAACCGCATCTTCTAAAAGTCAGCAGAAGAAACATGATCGAAAAATTTGGCGAAGTCTCAAGGAAGTGGGCCCAGATGGTGGCGGCACTAACGCCTAAGGAAAAATAGATTTCTGATTCAAAATGTGAGGGGATGGGCCTTAAAGGCTCATTGTGAGAAGCTGGAATTATCCTGACACGGATGACATTACTATTTGGTATTGCTGTTATTTTCCTCCCAACAACCTTGTTTGTACAAAAGTAGCAACGGTAATGTCAGTATAGCAGCTGCTACTATTTTCACCTAACAAACATTGTGTTATAAAAAATAGGCAGAGGGTAATTTAGGACATTTCTATATCTTCAATATGTTTTTGATCAATGGTTCCAGCAGCGCCGCATAAAATGTGATTAGCGATCTTGTTTCCAAGCAAAATTGATTGTGCTTGGTTCCACAGCAAAACCATGGCCAATCTATAATAAATTTGTCCTCACGGGTTGGAACGTTACATTCGTTTCCGCGTGCGTCGAAAGGGCAAGCACGCAACGTCTTTGCTGTCTTTGCTGCTTGGCAAATTTTGGAAAATAGAACCACCTAATTCCCTCCTCTGACACGAGTCCCCATGCCCCTTTCCGCCATCTTATCTACACTCGTAATCCCTGAGATGAGGTAGGCGTGGCTGCATACTTCAACTAAACGTCGTGGTGGCTATGCTTCTGGAGAGAATTTCGATGTGACCCAAATGTGTGCACGTCTTTGTCCAAAAAAGAACAAATGGCGGTTGTCTCAAACTGAATTACCAATATATCCGAAATGCACGCCTACCGCGTGCAGAGGAGCAAGGAGTATACACTTTCCTACCTAGGTTATTTCCACTTCTTGCCGCAGTTTTCCCAGTTTTTCCCCGGAATTCGGGGATTTTGCTGGTTCCTTCAACGTTCAGTGCGAGGGGGGGGGGGGGAAGGGGGCAAGCGCAAACTTCTCTCAAAGGCAAATGCGTGCGAGCTACACCCACTTCCCCCACCCTTATAAAATACAAATATGAATACACCCTGGGTCCGTTAAGACAAGGAAAATCACCATCAAAAATATTTTTTTTTGTTCAACCAATAGCCCGCCTAACCGCGAGGCTTACCTAACGTAGCCGACTGATCAGTGAGCAGCAGACTAAACCGTATTGCCTTTAAATAAACTGGTTCATATACTCCCAGCATATAGCAGTCATTATCGCTGCAAATGAGAGGGATGTGCAAGGGGCGTGACTTTGATGCCACCAGACCAGCCTTTCCGACAATTTTGCGGGCTTCACGACGACATTATTGTGAAAAGGCTGCAGCTCGCTACGCTTTCATGCACCGTCTCTTAACCATGCTTACAGCCGTTTTACTTGTTACATCACGGTTGATCGGTGATCCTCACACGCCTGTACTGTCAGTCCCTCATTAATCTCAAAGATTTTTTCACCAGTAAAATCACCCAACTATCTCATTCCAACGCTTCAGGTGAATGCTAGCTGAAGCGGGCAACTGCTCCACGTCGGCGGTGCTATGCTTGCAGTTTTTGACCCATGTGGCCAACGTCGCCGTCGACACCGCTATGAAAGGCGTATACGCTAGTAGATGATTGGCTAGCTACCAGTCTGCATCTACTCTACTACTTCCACTATACCGATTTTATTTTACGTGTTCGGAAGTGGTGCGCCACTTGTATTCAATTCTCGCAACGAGCAGAACAAACAACATGAGACAGGAAGCCTCGTCAGCACATTCTATAACCTCCGAATACATTTCAAAAGCCTCGGAGTACTCGTGTGAGCATACTGACAAAAACAAAAAACGCAGTACACTCTCTGCAATTGTAAAAGTAAATTATAAAGTAAATACGACCACCAGGGAATATATGTCACAAGGGCAAAAATTTTTCGCATACTTTAAAATACTACTTCAGTTGAAGACTTTCTCCAACATCTAAGAAAGGATAAAATAGCCGCTGAACAATCCCTTTTCGGGATGCAGTACTCTACTTCCAATTTCGAACCGTGGCTCATTAAATACGATGTGGTCTTTGACAAGGAAGTGCGGGCAGCCATGATGGTTATTGGCTTCAACTCTTAAGCTGAAAGTCGACTAGTGCTAAGTACGTTTCTATGCAGGAGTAGAAGGCTTGCGTTGGTGTTTGGTGCGGACTGTTCACGGCTTTGACTTCCTTCTCCGCTTCATCGACCATGCGCGTGATAAGAGTGTGCTTGTCAATACGTGCAACCCTCGCTTCGCCATCGCCCCGTACTTGTCCTTCAGATCCAAGAACAGATTTGACGGAGGGAATCTGGGAAAAGGCCTCGAGGTGCCATAGATGCTACCGAGAGTACAGCATAGCAAAGTTCAGCGCATAGAGAAGACGGGCGTTCTTCTCCAGGTTGCAGCGAGAATCACTTTTCAAAGCGCACTTCGGATCTCTGCGCAGAAATATCGGAGGGAAGTATGCTCCCTTTGTTGCAGTGCACTACTCTAAGGATGATCTTTAGCAAGACAAAGAAGTTCTCATAGTGGGAAGTTGGTACTACAAGAATACAATGCTACAAAAGCCACTTGTGCTACAAAAGCTTTTTGTACAGTCAACACCGTTTCAATAAATTACACCGAAGTATTTTTTCAGGAACCAGTGAATCCGACCCCAGGAACACGAACACCCATTCAGCTGCACCCGGCTATGTCGTCATGGCCAAGTTCGCCTGCAGTGGCTCCCAAATTCAGCACATACGTTGAAGCTGGAAGCAATGTAAAAGGACTCAATTCACCAACTTTTCATCCAGGTATTTCTAGCGTATTTTTTAGAGCGGTATTGTACCTGTTAGGCAAAAAAGGTGCTAACGTAGATGAAGGGAGAGGAAGCATAAGGCGGGTCTAGGACGGCTACTCTGGTTAGGGTAATACGCGAAATGATGGTGTCAAAAAGACCAACCCTCAAAACTTTCTCCTCCAGCGAAGACCTACTTTACCCATCATGCCTACGACCTACCCAAATTCTCACAACTTCATGCGATTTTCCTTGAAATTTTCTAGATTTCCCCCGAAAAGCTGCCGTCGAGAGGGAAGGGAGTTGTCGCCATTAATCAAAATTTTATCGCAGCCCGGGGAAATACCTATCAAGCCCATATTCGTCACCCTCCATAACGATCAAGTGCGCCTCCTGCCTCCTTCCTCCCAATGGTTTTCTTCCTACGTTGGCGTACCACTGTACCCTGACTCTGGTCATTTGCATTTTCGTGCGTCTGAAGGAAGAGAAGAGTCACTATGTCGGTAAAAGGGACGAACAATCTAAATCTGAGTGGCGTCATCCCCACTAGGGCACGCTCTCGCGTTGTGATCATACCCAATGTGAAACAGGAAAATTTCTCAGATTTCCCTACCTCCTACCAGTTTTTCCGAAATTTCCCGAAAAATTTCTGGTTTTTTCCCCAAAATTTTGCTGTCGAGCGGGGGGGGAGGGGGGAGGTCGTCAGGATTTAACTATCATTTTCAACTATCGGAAATAGTAGTTGTATAGATCTTTGGCAGTCCCTCTCCCAACAACGACCAAATACGACCCCCCCCGTTGTGATCATCACAACGATGGCGTGCCTGATCCCCACCCTTCGCTCAAATTGATTCCATCATTTTCAGGATCAGTTGAACCATATTTGGCACCAAATACTTATCGTCTATACAGTATGCGTTTCTGTCCCTATGCCGAACGAATGGTGATCTATGTGGCAAAGAAAGAATATACCGTAAGTAACTGGAAGGTTCTCAAAGTATGATTGACGCTCATGGGTTTCTGCGTACCTCTGGACGTTAGCGTGATAGGGCGGAGGATTGCTCAGGTTGGCAGCAACCTTTGCAACCTCTGTGTCCCTTCTCTCAGCCAAGACAGGCTTACTGGTGAATATCCCTCGGAGACTCTGGTTGTCCGCTCTCTAACTCTGAAGATCGGTTAGGAGGCCGGCCGGCCGAGTGTCCATTCCTCCAGCTATGTGGGTTCTCCACTTCTGCTCACGTTGGATGTAATATTTCCCAAAATGTTGTAACTTAACGTTCTGACTGTACTGCAGACAAACATATAGACGGCGCAGTTCGGATACGGGAGAGGGTGATGGAAGGGAGGCATTTTGCACCTTTGCTACTTCCCATCGACGTGTCGACCTATCTAGACAGCCTTCTTCTCGATTTGACAGGTTTTACCATGATGGCTTGACGACGTGTTCAACTTCTTCATGAAGAGTTTACAGGTTTCGCCAGAGCGGACTCTGTAAACCGGAACTAGGGGGCAATATAGTAAATACTGCCCCCGCGTCGCCGGACTGCGCCCATATAGACTGTTTATTTCAGAATTGAAATAGTGAACGTTAACCCGGATAAAGGACCGAACTGGTATCTCGCTAAGTCACCTCTTGGAAGTGTTCCTGCGTTGGAAATCAACGGGAAGGTGAGTATGTTTTCACTAATTCTTTATTCTTCTGGCGGAGATCTGACTGGAGACTTTCTCTGCGTTATTTAGCTTATAGAATGTTACCTCGATTTAGCGTTAGGGAGGATTATAGTTTCGATTCGATTTAGTACAACGCAAGTGTTGTAAAGGCGCACCCGTGCGTGCATCAAATAAATAAATAAACACTCAGTGGGATATTGTGCGTCAAAGGTAGTCCGGAGGGGGGGATAGCTGACTACGCCACCTTTTTATGTGTCACCTCACCAACAAATGGACTATTTTTGCAGTCGATTTTCCTCAGAAATGCCCTTAAACCTTATATCGGTGGGAGTGACAGACGAACAGGCACGATGTGGGGACAGTCGTGCCGCATCGTGGATTTCGAAGCGCTTGAAGTAACATGAGTGCGAGCACTCCTTCTACATCATGCTTGTTCTTACTCCTTGCTATTGAGCGTTTTTGTTGTGAGCAACACTCCTTATCCCGAAGATTGGGAGGGCGTGGCCGCGTGCTTAACTTGAGCATGACGTAATAAGCGTTTTTCGTGGGCAACATCCCTTTAGGGCAGCTGTCCTCCTGTGCTGTGTGGGCAAATGCATGATGACATTTGCCTCGGAATGGCAGTATCTCTACCGCTATCACCTTGAAGTGAAGTATGCTGCCACGCCCTCTCCGGCTGCGGGATATGGAGTGTACAGTCGTGGCTCAAAACAAGTACTTAAGGTTATATGGGAATCGAAAGTACTCGCTGAATACCTTGATGAAGTGTTCCCATCGTCATCGATACTTCCTCGCGATCCATTTGAAAAAGCTAAACAGAAGGTCATGGCCGAACGCCTCTCCCCGGTAAGACTGGTGCTCTTTGAATCCTGAAATTTTTTCAAAAGTTATCTATTCTTGATGAGTCTATACTGCGTTTATACTATGCGTTAAAAGAGGTTTTACAGCTGATGAACGTTCTTTTCGAGTTGTTCAACTCGAACACCCCAGATGCCCAGAGGAAAACAGACAACTCATTGCATTCAGCCCTTCGTGGAGCCGAGGCTTTGCTTACTGACAGCTTCTACGGAGGTGAGAAAACACTCTTTGGGTCAATCCGATTCAAGTATGGCATAGGTCTGTTACCTGTCAAAGGCATGGACAGGGTCGCTGGAGGCGGGCGGTCGTTGCCAATGTCATTGGTGGAAGGGCTGAAGCAGCGCGTTTGGCGAAACTGCCCAACACACTGTGAGGTTGTTGTCAACGCCCTCCCACCAGTAACGCTAGCAACATCTGCCTGCCTCCAGCAATCGTGCCCGCTGCCTTCGAAATCACAGTGTATGATTATCTAAAGAACGACGCAACTCCTCGCATCACATGGCCAGTCGACTCGGGGGTGCTCGGGAAAGACGGGAGAAGGGAGAGGGGGGGGGGAGAAGTGCTAGCGAGGCAATCGTCCGGGCGTTGCTCATGAAGACGCGATGTAGCGCGCAGCAACGTGATGACGCCGCGGGTGTCTAGGAAAGCAAAACTCCCCGCAGTCCGCTCGTGTCATACCTCGTAACTGTAGTCAAATCTTCCATAAGTGTCCAGGTTCGACTCTCGAT